TCTGCTACGTCATCTCGGGGGTAGTCATCCCGGTCATTCCGACGTCCTCTGCCCCGGTTTTTTCGATTTGAACCTCGGTCTGATTCCTCTGCTCGGTCATTTGAGCGGTTGGACTCTTGCCCAACTGCGTGCACTTTGCCTGCTGTCTTCTTGTCTGTTGCTACCGGAGTGGCCTTCACGGTGGAAGCTGACGCATCATCCTCTACTCGGATGTGCTCATTAATGCGCTGCATGAGCTGGCCCATGGAGGTCGGTTGGTGCATGGTAAGCGAGTCCCGCAGTCTATGTCCGACCGGGAGACCACGCTTGTACTGTGTGATTGCAAGGTTGACCGGGCAGTCTAAGATCTCGTTGAAGGTTTCCCAGTACCTTGAGTTGTATACCTTCAGTGTGTCGCTCGGTTCCATCTTGACACTTAGCAAGTGATTGACTTCCTTTGGTGTTTTTGTGTTGGTTTTGAAGCGTGTAACAAACGCCTCGGCCAACTGGTGCCACCTTTGTATGCTCCCTTCCGGCAACCGCTCGAACCACTTTAAGCCCAGCTCGCCCAAACTTGACGGGAAGATTAGGCACATAAGTCCGTCATTCCGCCTATGTCCGGCCATAACCTGTCGGAAGTGACTCACATGCATGTAAGGATCGGTTTTCCCGTCGTAAAGTGTGAACTTAGGCTGGTGGAAGCCTGCCGGAAGCGGTGTTGTTTCTATATCCAGGGAAAATGGGGTGGCGCTCAGCCTGGCCAAGTCCGTATCTTCAAAGAGCGGCACTGCTTGGCGGGGTGGAGGCATTCCGACCTCCTCACTGGCGTGTACCCCATAAGATAACCGCTGGAGCGCCGGTATTCTCTGTGCTTCGCGCCGGCGGGCCCGCTCCTTTAAGACCGCCCGTAAATCCTCTGACTGAGCAGAGTAAGAGTACCTCGACGTCGTCTCCGGACGTGAGGGTTTGTAGGTGCTGTCTTGCGCGCTAGACTTCCCTGCACCCACGTCGGAATCACCAACCTGGTAACTTTTGGTAATGGATATTGACTGAGTACGTCGCTGACTCTGACCGCCTGAACGGCGGGATGGGGTGCGCTCACTGTGGTCTCCCACTCCAACTACACCCTTCCCTTTGACATGCCATTTGAGATCCTCCATCTCTGTTTCGGGGTAGCTCCGTCTATGGCAGACAACGGAAACTCGTCGTTGTTCGCCATGGACGGCGATCAGATGAACCTAGAAGACAAGGTTTTGTCTGTCAATTTCCCACAGACGGCGCCAATTGTGCGGGGAGCAAATATTCCGGCGAGCCCGTACTCCTTTCTTCCAAGTTCCGTTTATGTCCGATCACCTGCGAGCCAATAAGGGTGAGCTACCCGGCGGTATGTGGCCGGAAAAACCCTCCGACGATCATGTTAGCACACACCTTAGGATAGAGAGAGAGAGAGAGGAGTGTTTGAATGTAAGAATTTCCTTACAATGTGTTCGTCCCTCGCGTATGGGGGGCGCAGGCCTGCTTTTATACCCTCTGTGCCCCATATCTACTCCCAGTCATCTCCTGACACGTGGCTCCGCTTATCCCATCTGTCAGCATAGATCTTGCTGAACATCACCTAATCTCAACTGCCCGCCATCACAGCTGGAGCTCGGCAGCCGAGCTGCTCTATGCGTTGTTGCGCCATGCCGTGCTTCATACCCAAGCACTTAACTGGCAAAGAGCAAGGAGGACCGGGCTAGGCGGCATCTCGGCAAAGCCTAGCCCGAAGCACCCCCCTGTGGTCGGCTTTCCTGCCGGTCAAACGGTAACCTCGGCTGACCGCGCCTTTCCGGGCGCCGGTCACTCGGCTTGTCTGGCTTCGGCTATCCTCGGACCGAGCATCCCGGTCCGACCGAGCACTGCCTTGCCGAGCCGCTTCTTTACGGTCTGGGGCGGGACGTACTCGGCCCAAGTTCTACCCGGCCCAAGTTCTGGCAGCCCATCTCTGGGCGAATAGTCGATCATCTCGGCCCCATGCGCTGCTGGGCTCTCAACCTGCTCGGTCGCTACCTCGGCCCAACTCCAGATCATAAATCGCCCTCTCAGTTTGGCATTTCAATCTTGCGTTAAAATAGTCATAAGATGACAAAATAGATTAAAAAGTCAATAAGACAAAACATTATATTCAAATTATAATAATTTTATTTTTTCTTTCACAAAAGTGAAAAAAGTCAAAAAATTAATCCCAAACGAGACTTTTTAGCCCAAACTAAAATAACCAAAAAGTCAAAAGGCCAAAAAGTTAACACACATCCCAAACGAATCCGTAGTAGGTTGCTTAACCAAATTATTGGGGTGCATTTAGAGTCACTCACTTTGGTGCTTATTTGTATCACACCATCTATTTATTTTTACATGTCTTTTTGTAATAACCAAAAAAATTAACTCTTTTTACGCTTCTCGAAACAACCCTCAATACAAAATCGAACCAAACCAATCCCTTAATGGGAATAGCTTCCCTCGGTACTCTTATCCTTTATACTCCTCAATACTTCATTTTTTAGACTCCATTCTAAACCCACAATAATAATCTAATCCGTTCATCTCATAATCCCAACAATTTAGATGAGTTATGTAAAAATTTAGTTTCATTAGATATCATTAGATACATGAATAAATTGCATCTTATTTTCTAAAATAGACAGTATTTGTGAGTTTAAACTTAATCTTTTCATTCTATAAAATGAAAAATGATATGTTTATGTATTCATCGATATCTAATGAAATTGATTTTTTGCACAGATGGTCTTCATTATGAGATTATAAGATGAACGGTTTGGATTATTATTGTAACAATAATACTATGAACCTACTCTTATCAATCTAGAAATTATTTAGAATTTTCGTCATATAGTTCAGATTCATTCTACACATAGACTCAATATCAATCTCACACTATATAAATTAATTTCCACCGCACAATCATTCACCTAGAATTTTTTGAATGGATAAAGATGGGTCTCTAGACATTTCCAGTGTTTATTTAATGAAAAAAGTTATTAGTTATCATAGGACTTATTAGACAATAAGTTTATCTATTATGAACTACACGTAATAGGTAAACTACTAATAGATCCTAACAGTTGGACTTAATTTCCATCAAGTCTTATTGAAAATAAGTTTTGGTAAAATCGTCACTAAAAATAATTTTTTACATGTCACTAAAAATTGACAATTAATGACTTTTTTTGTCACGATTTTTATAAATTGTCATTAAAATTTATAATTAGTGACTTCTTTGTTATGAATTTTTTAAATTGTCGTTAAAACTTATAATTAGTGATATTTTTATGATAAATTTTTTAAATGATTGTTAAAAATTAACAATTAGTAATGTTTTTTTTTAAATAATATTTGATTAAAAAAAGTCATTAATTATCATAAAATTTATTGGATAATAAGCTCAAATCTATAAACGTTGTATTTAGTTAAGAAATTTGGAAATAAATTTAAAAAGAGAAAAAAATATATATAAAATGTAAATATATTTTATTTGATATTTTTATGATAAATTTTTTAAATGATTGTTAAAAATTAACAATTAGTAATGTTTTTTTTTAATAATATTTGATTAAAAAAAGTCATTAATTATTATAAAATTTATTGGATAATAAGCTCAAATCTATAAACGTTGTATTTAGTTAAGAAATTTGGAAATAAATTTAAAAGAGAGAAATATATATATAAAATGTAAATATATTTTATTTATATTTTTTTATTATTATTAGTTTTTAAAATTTTCAACCAATCCTAAATGGAGGGATGAACACCCTAAACTACATATATGCTCGTATAGATACCGACATACAGCACCTCCTTTTTAACGGAACAAAGAAAAGTAAAAGGTAGGAGAGAGAGAGAGTTGGCCAAAATACGACTTAAAAGGAAGCTATGGCGAAATTACAGTCCCTGTCTATGTCAGTTGCAGTACTACTTCCACAACCACCATCTCTCTATAATCATCTCTGTTTCCTTGCTTTGTTGGCCCAACATGGATCGTCTGATCCTCAAGATCAAGCTTCTTCTCCACCTCCGCCGATCTCCTCCAGGTACCCATTCTTCTCACTCCTATGCTTTCAAGCTCTTTTAGTAACTCCAATGTGGTTCTGATCTGTTCCACATTCATGGGTTTAGCCTTGATTTTCTTCTAATTCGCTTAATCCGAAGCTAGCTTCTTTTTTCTTTTTCTTTTTTTTTAATTGTTGGCCATGAATCCATGATGTGTTCTGAATTTTGGAGGTCCTCAAAATATTTGTATTTGTATTCTGATCAACATTAATGGGTTTTACTTTGATTTTGTTATAATTGGCGTAATTTGGAGCTAGCTTTTTAATTGTGTTTATTTATGAACCATTTAGAATTATATGGTTAACAATTGAAAGACAATTAGTTGTTTAGAATTTCCTGGTGTTGTCTCTCAGTACCCCATCTCACTTCTTACTTTCAACTCTACTCTGTATCTACAGTGATTTGTATCTAATGCTTTGAAGCTCTTTAAGTGACTGTAATTTGGTTCTGATTTGATCAACATTAATGGGTTTAACCTTGATTTTGTAATAATTGGCGTGATTTGAAGCTAGCTAATTAAGTGTTTAGATTTTTCTTTTCCAATAGTTGGCCTGACGATTATGTGTTCTGAATTTTTGGAGGTCCTCAATGTATTTGAATTTGTGTTATTAACCATATAGAATTATATGGGTAACAATTGAAAGAAAATGGGGTCTTTGGTACTACGGTTTTGTCCCTAGGTGGCCAGTGTAGTGTAGTCCTAGTCCTAGTCCTAGTCTTTGCTTTTCTTTTTCTTTTTATTTTTTAATTTGTGTTGATTTTTCAATTTAGTAGGATTCCCATTAAATTGAGAAGTTCTATCTCAACCAAATATAGCCCCCACTCCTCTTCCTTGTGATAATTCCAAACCATGGAACCTATGGTGACTTTGAACTATGAACAGTAAGGACTTTGAACCTTGCTAAGTGGCACCTTCTATTTGTCTGTTCGAAGTTTAATGTAACACATTTTCTGACAACCTATGTGTGTCATCTTCAGAAATTTGACTTTTTTTTTTTTTTTTTGGGTTCAGTTTAGGAGTTTGTCGTGACTAGTGCACTGGGATTCAAGTGACTAATTAACACATTTTAACAAGAGAATGTTGGAAAATTGGGGATAATTTTCATATTGTTTTGTGCCTGTTGTTACATATATGGTTTGACTACATAGGAACAGTCTGTTCATGATGGGATGTTGGGGAGAAATTTGCTTGTATGTAATGATGTATCACGTGGAGATGTTAAACCTTTATTTATATATCGGCTCACTTAAATGAATATCCCCGGAGGATCTTGTGCTCATATTTTCACTTGTTTACATTAACATTACAATTAAAAACAGATGGCTATGACGAATACATCCATTTTAGTAAAATCCATTATTCAGTGCTGCAAAGCTCATTAAAAATTAAATACATTGTTTCTACCTAGATATCTAGGTTTCCTATAGTAAAGTGATGGGTGTCTTTTCGTTGTACATAACATTGATTCTTCAATACTATTTTGACACAACTTTTATTAATTGTTGCACCTATGACCATCTTGCATCATTTTCTCTCGAGTTCTTATTGCACAATTTCATTTCATGCTGTGATCTGCATTAGCAGCTGATGTTTTGAAGAGTTCACCTCCTAATGAACTAATGAATCTAGAACCAACAATTGTCCTTGCCATCAGCTATAGAAGACCAAACTACCTAAGAAGAAAAAAATATTGGTTAACAATTTGAGAATAATTGCTTGTTTGTGTTCTCTCTCTCTCTCTCTCTCTCACACACACACGCACACAAAGAGTTCTGGGGTTTGTATTTCTTTTTCTTCTTCTTTTCCCTTTTGATTGAGATAGGAAAGGAAGTGTTCTGGTTATTTTATGTGGCTTATCGCTTAAGGAAAGTTGATTTATGATAGGTAAGTATTAGAGCTGACTGCTTCGTCTCATTTGTTAACATAACCTTGCCTAATAAGATCAATTTATACACAATCTATGATTGAAACACTGCTGCTCCCTCTATCTCATAGCTTATTCCACCATGGAAAAATACAACTTTTTAAGGACACAAACATTCAATGTGTTCGCACCCAACTAGTAGAGTACAAATTTCACATCTATCCCTTTTGATCCCTATCTTCCACACTATTCACTGCATTCACATGTGTGAAATGGATGATATTGGAAAATTACAAAATTTAAGTCCCTTAACTTTTCAAAATGACAATCTCTTTGGGAAATCCCAAAATAGAACGTGGACAAAAAATAAGGGAAGGAGGGAGTGTATGAAATGAATCAATAGGTTCTCTTTATTTGAAAGTCTATTTCTGGAAACTATTTCAGGTAATGTATCTTTTGTGAGGCGTTTCTCATACAATGATATAAAAAGGGCAACAGATGGTTTCCGCTGGATCATTGACAACTCATCCCATGGAGCCGTTTACAAAGCCAAATTTGAAGATGGTCGTGTTGCTCTGGTAAAAGAAATAAGAGATTTTGATGAAGCAAAAGATGCCTTCTATAGAGAAGTCCAACTTTTGGGGCGCTTGCATCACCGGCACATTGTTTCGCTTAGTGGCTTTTCCACAGGACATAAGAGGTTTGATTCTTGACTCTTGCTTAATCTTTGTAACACTTTTTCTTAGCCTCTTAGGAAAGGATAGAAAGAGCGAAAGACAGATTTTGGGGCCACGTATTGCGTGGAGAGCAAGATATTTCGTGATTATGTTAGGCTTTGTTTGTTGCGCCATAAAATATTTTACACATGTAAAATAATTTTGCCCAAAAATAAATTTTTTTATTTTTATTTTCCGGTGTTTGTTTAGCACTCAAAATATTTTTTACAACAAAAATTTTATTAAAGAAGCAATTATAAAGTAAATTTTTAAAAGAAAATGAATAAATAAAATGATACTTGTACATAATTTTCATGTTGAATTGAATACAATTAATGTGGCAATGTCATTCTTACAATCATAAACTGTAGTAATGAAAATTTTAATTTTCAAGAGTGAATATGAATGTGAGGCATCATTATATATAAATTTTTTGTATACAAATTTTTTTTGTATATTATTACTAAAGATTGAAATAAGACAATGATTGAATGTAACAAAAATAACATTTCCAAAATATAATTCCGATCAATTGCTCAACCATAATATATGTATAGGTATATTTATCAAATATATATATGTATATCCACACATATAAATATATGTATATGTATATATGTGAAGCAAATGTATATATATATATAGATGAAGCAAATATATGTTTAATACATATATATGTATAGGTATATACATATATATACATACATATATATATATAGAGAGAGAGAGAGAAAGAGAGAGAATAAAAACGTTCAATGCGTATGAAAGTAGTGAAACTTGATATACTTGATATGTATTTCGAGTAGTATCAACCATGATGAGAAAAAAAAAACTTGCAGAAATTTTTAAACGTATATCATTTTATGCTTTTACTTAACTTTTTGGCCAACCAAACAATGAAAAATAGGTAAAATATTTTTGGGAAAAATATAACGTCCAAATCCTTTAGAGGATGGGAATCTAGTATTTGTGATATCCTGTGAAATTATAAGTCTCATAGATTGCCCATTGCTTATATGGAAATATATTCGTTTGTCCTTATTTCTGGGTTAAGAAAGATTTTAACCCTTAAAGGGCCTTAACTGTTGTTTTGAGAAACTTCTTGTTTTGATGTATTTAACTGTTCCCTTTTCAGGTTTCTAGTGTTTGAAGACATAGAAAATGGAACCCTGAAAGCGCATCTGAATGGTAACTTTTGGAACACAAAATTTACATGTTTGCCTAATTTGATTCTGTTATCAAAGTTTGGCTCTTGGCAGATCCTCTTAAGACTCCCTTGAATTGGAGAACAAGGCTACAAATAGTCATTGGCGTGGCAGCTGCACTCGTAAGTTGTAAAGCTGCATTTTGTCGTACTCATATACAAATAAAAATATGTTAAATCTTTTTTACTGCCTTTTATTTTGTTTATTTTTTATTTTATTTTATTTTATTTTTTTGGATAAGGGAAACATATAACCTGTGGTACATAAATACCATAGCCAAGAAGCGAAGTCACTATAACATCTACTTATAAGGGAAAGTCTGCTTCCATGGTCCAACGTTTGACATAGGGCTAAGAAGCACGGACACTTCTAAAAAGGTAACGTATCCGTGTCGTGTCCGTGTCGGACACCGACACTCTTTGGACACTTTTCCGACACGTGTCCGACACTCTTTATAGCATGTCCTATCTTTTAAAGACCCGGACACTCTATGGACACTTGGAGGACACACGTGTCCATCTCTTAAACACACATGTCTATCAATTAGACACATGTGAAACTAATTATAAGTTTGAACAAAACAACTTAAGATACAATAATAAAACAAAAATCATATAAATTTATAGGGATTAATGTCATATTGCATTTTTTTATTATTTTTGAATGATATATTCATATATATAACATATAATAAATATATAAAATTATATATTTCATGCGTGTCTCCCGCGTGTCGTGTCCTACATTTTTTGAAAATTATCGTGTCGGCGTGTCCGTGTCGTATCCGTGTCGTGTCACGTGTCCGTGTCCATGCTTCTTAGACATAGGGATTCTAACACATACCTTGGTCTGATAAATCTGAAAGACTATTTGGAATACTTTGGGGGCTTTAAATGCTCAATGCACTTATATTGTTGGGCAAATTATACCCGTGGTCTCTATATGTTGCTTCTTGTGTCAATTTGGTCATTGCAGTTCCAATTTTGTCAATTTGGTCATTGTAGTTCCAATTCTATCAGTTTTGTCATTTAATTTTTTACGTTGTGTTAATTTAGTGAAAGTGATAACATCCGTTAAAAAATTGGACTGAAATCAACAGGGCAAAATGGTTTCCATTCAAAAGGAAGTGGATCACTTCCCCCCCCACACACACACACACACACCCACACCCACACACAAAAACAAAAACAAAAACAAAAAACAAAAACTTTCAGGAAAGTCAATGGACTAATTTACCATCAATTCATTCAATATATCCTTTTTTAGAGGACAAATTTTCACAATGTGAATATTCAAAGATAAAATTGATGCAATTACAACTATAAGTCTCAAATTGACACGAGACAAACTACAAGGATTAGGGGTGTAATTTTCCCTATGTTATTCTTCTGCTCTTTCCTTCCATAAATTGATTGAAATAAATTTCTTAATTTATTAGACATTTGTATTTTTTGGAAAATGATAACATAAAACACCAGTAAACAGGCCAGATTTTGCTCATTTGACTTTATCCGATATATTTTGATAATGGAATTTTTTCCACTTCTTCGAAGTGTTTCACCTAAACAGGCTCTGCTTTATGTCACCAAGATTGTTCTTTCTTTCTTTGTTTTGTGCATTGTGTGTTTGTTTGCACTGCTGGAATGGTAAAATCAAATTGATACAAATTGTCGTGTAATACAGGAATACTTACATTTCTTCTGCGACCCACCAATGTATCATGTCTCAGTCAGTTCAAGTACCATCATGTTAGATGAGAACTTCAATGCGAAGGTAAGGGTATTGCACTTCTCTCTCTTTTCATTTAAGTTTCTAGCATATAGCTCATGTAACCAATATGTATAGAAGTTTTCTTAGTTTTGTAAAGGCAACCACCATAGTCAAATTTTATAGACACGTTTCATGATATATTAACATACCTCTTGTTACAGCTCTGCAATATTGGCCGCCTTAGTTCTCATGGAAATGACATTACATTGCCACAGTCTTCACCTTCGAAGGGTAAATTTTTATGATTACTTTTGCAATAATTTCACAATGTTGTATTTTGGGCCTATTTGGTGTAGCTTCTTGTGAGCTGAAAGCTGACAATTAAAAAGTAAAAGCCAAGCTATAAGCATCTCATATAAGCTGCACTGAAAAGCCCCTTTTTCTATTTCGATCTTTACACGTCCATTTACTCTGGTGCAGATTATAGAGGTCAGGTATGCGGAAACATAATCTTTCAGCTTGGCTTACTAATTCTCGAGCTAATAACTGGTCAGTCCTCGGAGGAGGGAGGTGTAGATTTGATCCAATGGGTTGAAGAATTTCGCTTCTCGAGATCCATACATAAGATGCTTGATCCCGACCTTGGAAACAACTATGATTCTAGTGAGCTTAAGGGTCTTTTAGCTGTAGCAAGATTGTGTATAAAATCTCTAGATAAGCCAACACTTTTTACTCCTCAGGTATTTAGGTACCTCCAGAAGAAGCTAGGCATTGAATAAACCGTTATCAATGACTTGTGATTATGCCTTATGATATTCTTTGGAAATTGAGTTGATGCTTCATGGAGTTAAGGTCCCTTTATTCCAAGGTTAGCTATCGTGAAAATTTTCATTTTGGATGTACTAGTTGTCTGAAAGAGCAGCTTAACTCAACGGTAACATTTATTGTTAGCGTCTTTAGTAGTTCAAATACTAGTCACAAAAACACTCAAAAAATAGAAGTAATACTGCATACATCTTTATCTCCCAGACTCCGCTTTAACAGGAGCATCGTGTCTGTTGTCCCTTGTGATATGGGAATGCACCAAATCCTTTATGATATTGGTGTTGGAAATGGTTTTGAAAATTCTGGAAAGACATAATTTTTTTTAAACTTTGGTTTAATTTTTAGGTGGGACTCATGGGTCGATTTTCGCGACTCTAAGTGATAACGTGTTCTATGTCGCGTTGTAATTCACGTGGTATATTTGGTTGCTCAAAACCATTATCAGGTAAATGAAAAATTGAAGTCAAAGTGAGCTCCATGAAAATGGAGTTTTTGGTGGACATTCCTTAAAGTTTGAATTAAGGCTTGTTCCATATTGGTATGGTGGGAAGAATTTTGTGGGTTTATATAGCTTGAAATTATAATTTGGAGAGGGCCCCAAGGGGCACCCCACGTTTGTAGAAGAGAAAGGTTATGGACAAATTGGGTTTGACCCATTGGACTCAAAAATAACCACACGCGCGTCGCCGCCGTCCGTCCGGGTGGGCTGGCGCTGGCTTGGGCGCGGGTGTGTGGTGTGAGGTTGGGTTAGGCTGGGCTTGTCTGACCCAATACCTATCTTTTTGGACCAAAAACATTTAAATTTAATTTATTTTTTGGTAAAATAAAATAAGACTGTTTAAATTCAAATATGTCTGAACCTTGTGTACAGATTTCAAAATCTGTCTGTTTAATTCAAGGAAAACCCATACCTATTTGAATTTAAATTCAAACATATTTAAATCTGTGCAAATTAAAACAAACAGATTTGGTTATCTGTTGAAACAGTGGTGCACCTGTTCAAACAGGTTTGGTAGCTGTTTAATTCAAATTGAAAAGCCACCACTCCATCTATAAATTAGTACCCTTCATTTGATGTTTTCATTCACAATTTTCGTACTTCTCCTTTGCAAATAATTTTTGTATTTTGCTGCATTAAATTTCTGTGAGAAAAGAGTGTATACACTTAGTGTTCGTTGTACAAATAAATTGTGGTGCTGCATTTATTCGTTGTTGATCATTTTATCCTGAGACATAGACGTCCGAAAATCTAAAAGCACCGTGGAGAGGACAAATCTGTCTTAAGGACATAGTGTTAAACACTGGACTTGATCAAAAGTTTGTTCAAGAAATTAATCAAGTAAGTTGTTAATTTATTTTCTGTTTTATTTTTATTTATTTAAATCAAATTTTATTTTTATTTTTATAACAAAATAAAAATCTATTTTTATTTATTTTATTTTATTTTTCTAGTTTGATTTTTGTAATCAAACATATACTCTCATTTTCTTTTATTTCTTCTGTACTCTGTTTGTTGTTAAGTACACAAATAGAATTTATTTTTCAAATACAGTGAACATTGACTATTAATCAATCTTAAGACAGATTATTTTTTGGTGTCTTCATTATATTTAATTTTCTGTGTTTTCACAAAGTGATATTCTGCTTGGAAAATACAAATAGTAGTAATATACTGTTTATTTTCTTTGACAACTAGTAGTAATATACTGGTGTCATTAACAATTGCAGAATATTAAGTTTTGTTACAAAAAATTATTGTGGTATTTTATTTTTTTAGTTTTAGTAATAAGGAAAATAAAATTATTTTGTGTTATAATTTATTTTTTGGTTTTAGTAACTAGAAAATTTATTTGTGTTTTGGTTTTTTCTGATTTTTGTAATCAGATATTATGGCTACTGTAACTGGAAGTGGTACTCCAATTGTTACATCGACTCCGGTCCCTATCCAGAACCATGTTCAAGTTCCGATAAATCATGAAGAAAAATCGAAAAAATTTAATGGCACTGAGTTTAAGAGATGGCAGTAGAAAATACTGTTCTATCTTACAACTCTAAATTTGGCCCGATTTATCCATGAAGAGGCTCCAGTACTCAGAGAGGATGAAAGTGATCGGCAAGTTGTTGCTGCTGTAGATGCTTGGAAGCATTCTGATTTCCTGTGCAGAAATTACATCCTAAATGGCCTTGATAACATGTTGTATAATGTTTAAAGCCCTCTGAAATCAGCAAAAGAATTGTGAGATTCTTTGGAGAAAAAACACGAGAAAGAGGATGCCGGCACAAAGAAATTTGTTGTCGGTAAATTTCTGGACTTCATTATGGTAGACTCCCAAATGGTAATTTCTTAAGTTCAAAATTTTCAGATAATTTTGCATGATATTCATTTTGAAGGTATGTCTCTTAGCGAGTCTTTCCACGTCGCTGCTTTAGTGAAAAAGTTGCCACCGGCTTGGAAAGATTTGAAAAATTATTTAAAACATAAACGTAATGAGATGACCATGGATGAATTGATTGTAAGATTGAGAATTGGGGAAGATAACCAAAAGGCTGAAAAGAGGAATGAGAAAAATCCCATTGAGTCCAAGGCTAATGTGGTTGAACAAGTGCACAAATCACATAATAAAAAGAGGAAGTTTACTGGAGATAGTCCTAAACAAGGCAACAACAATGGCAATAAGAAGTTCAAAGTAAAATGTTATAACTGTGGCAAGACTGGATATTGAGCTTCTGATTGTCGCCACCCTAAGAAGGATCGCGGAAGTACAAGCAAGAAGACCACCAATCAAGCCAATGTAACAGAATTAGATTACATTTTTGACAAGGTAAATGACATTGTAGACCGTCCGGAACTCCGCTCCGCGCGCGGGGGCGCGAATCGTGGTTCTTAGCTACTACAGTTCGGACTCATGTCACGGTTCTGAATCTAATCTCACAAAGTGCAATGTAAGACTGATAAATCATCAAAGAGTCCAAATCTGACAAATCGTTTTGGAAAATTAATTTTAATCAAAAAGCATCAAACATAGACTGGTTTGCCAGATTTCAGAGTCGTCACCTAAATATTTTATTTTGAAAAATTTAAGAAACCCTGACTCATGCCTAAGGCCACGTATCCGTCATCACCAAAGTTGCCTCGGCTCGAGAACTTGGGTACGAGATGGGAAGGTCATGCAATGAGCACCCCCGCTCGGCCGATCAAAGGATCGACCTTTACTAACATGATATGTTGTTTTTGAAAATACATATGTTCTTATTCCGGTTTATTAGTTAGCTTACTATGTGATGCGCACAACATACAAGTATAGACTAAATCAGTCAAATTGGAACAAAACGTCTCATGTTTGTTTGTTTGAAAATGGTTTGAAGGTGCTACTCGCAAGTAGGCTAAGACGCAGATTTTGCCACCCTCAAGTGGGCTTAGAAAAACATGGTGATTTGCCATTTCAAGTGGGCGTAAAACTCACAATCATCGAGTTGTTCCAATTCAGGCAATCAAGCCTCTACCCACAGGCATTCATGCAGTTAAAGCACTTAAGCAGATAGCCTCATGGCAAGCATGCTATCATGGCAACATTTGCACACATGCAATGATGCTAAAGTATAAACACTCACAGTTTACTCTGAGCAAAAAAAGAAGCTAGTTAGTAATCAATGCATGATCCTAGCTATGCTAAGAATGCCTAATGTAACACATGCAAAAATACAGCTAAAATAGGCTCGGCTATTCTAAGATGTCATGTGAATGCAACTTGATAACATGTATTCAAATTGGTATTGAAATACAATACAGTTTGTATGATGTGCTGAACCCGGAGCATGCAAAACAGATAAATGAATGTAAACATGCGAAGCATAAGGATGCTAATTGAAATATGTCCTAAAACTAACCACTGAAAGCAGATAAGTAAAAGGGAGAAAGAAATGGGGGTTGGAAGACATGCATCACGCACACACACACGCACACTCTTTACAACATTTGTGCCATCTCGACAGAGGGTCCGAATAATAAACTAACTAGCTAATCTAAGCTAATTAAACTAATTATTATAAAACAAAACTAATTAACTAATCCTAGCTAAGTAATTAGTTATTACAACACAAATCGATTAGCTAAGTGCATTAACTACTTAAGTACAAAACTAAAGCATTAGCTAGCTAAGCAAAGAAGCTAAGTAAAGCAGTAAGAAGAGGTCCTCAGAGCGAGAAGTGCATGCATGCTCGGTCGCCTCGTTCGAAAATCCATTACGATGCCCCAACTTGCTTCTGTTTGCATTTGATCTTAGAACACTGCACAAAGCTCCAGATAGCTTCTACTCCATCATGGGAACCTCCAGGAAGGCTGCCGACCAGTTATTGGTGTTGTAGGCCACCTGTAAACCATTTACATTTGCTGCAGACCAGAAAAAGTGGTCGGCCAACCACTTTTACTGGTTTGCCAACCAGAAAATTCTGCACAACTCCATTTTGCTGCAACAGAGAACAAGAAGGGGCACAGCAATGTATTTGCAAGGTATGTGTGCACAACCACCCTCCCTATCATTTCTTAAGCTCAAGGGAGTGCGGTTCTCGACTCTCGGGCCACCAACCGAGCATCGCAATGCACGATGGCCGAGAAGCCAAGTTTGCACGAATCAATGTGAATGAATGCACACATAACACATAAGGGCCTTAACCTCTATCATACATGATCAGGAGGCGAGAAATGAGGCACGTTTCATCACTTTAAGAATGAAATGTCCCTCGTTTCTTGTGTTTGGACTAACACCCTATCCAAACACAAATGTAATGTAACATGATCAACCTATCAATACTAATGGCATGCAAACTCAATGCAATACATGCAAACATAATGCGATGCAACAAGCATGCAAACACAATGCAAACAATAACATTCAAACAACATGCTCAATGGACTTAAACCGAATATGGATAGACCTCAATCATGTCCAAAATAGTGGCCAAAATGCTGAAATGTTGGCATGAAATGCAAGATAATACATGCTCATGCATTGGCCCATCAACTAAGCATAAGAGCACAGCTCTCAAGCATGATCAAGAAGTGATAAACATGGAAGTGTGAAAACACTATATGCTCTGAAATCATGTATGAAATGATGCCAAATCATTCAAACAACACAAGTATAGCATGCAAGAGGGCCTAAGGCATAAGGCCACCAAGAGGGACTACACAAGAGGCATGCAATACATGGCACGAATGA